TCACCCCCACCCCAAAGTTTTAACTACACCTACCTGGAGAAAGGAGTCAAGGGAGCCGGGTCACAACCGGAGACTGGGCTGGAGCTGAGTTCATGCACCGTATCCCACAGCGGCAGCAGGGTGAGCATGGGTGGAGTTGCAGACTGAATCCTGGAGAACGGTAGCAGAAAGAGTGTGGGCCAAACCGAGACCCGGAGCGACGGCAGCAGAGTGAGCAAAGGCTGGGCCGAGGCCCGGGCGAAGGTGAGCTAGGTCCCAGAGCTGTGGTGTGAGGGGATTCCCGAGCCCGGAGTGGCACGTAGGGAATCCCGGAGCAGCAAGATGAAGCGAATCCCAGTACAGTGTTACTTACCTTGTTGCTGCTGAGTGCTGGTGAGGAGCAGACTGGAAGCTGGAGCAACGTGCGACAGTTGCTGGACTTGGGCCTGGCACCATGTGCTGAGCTGCTGCTGTTTGGACCTGTATACAGTCATCATTGACTGTAATGTCAATCCTTTTCACGATGTTATAACCACCCCATTCCTAACTCATTCTCAGACACTGTAAGTGATGCTTATGCTTTCCTTTTAATCGTCTTTTGTATAACAACACTTTTTTTTCACTCTGTAAGATTTGTACCTAAGATGGCGCCATTAAAAGGCAGCCATTATAAAAAACTTTTCACTGTACTCCTGTACTTCCATACTAGACTATAACTGACCATAAAGAATATTCTATTCTATTTATTTAGCCACTTTCTCAAATGAAATGAAAAAGGCTTCTACATCCTTCTCGTCAAATTTAGGCAATGCTTGGGCATATTTAAACAGATCCCCACCAGGCCTTTGGCTATGATGGGTTTGCTCATCATCACTATCCTCCTCACTATGCTTACCTTCTACCTTCACCTCTGCCTTTTTTAAGTTGATTTTCATGTCTAATTGCCAACTTCTGAAGTTCAAACTCTCTCTCTTTCTGCTTTTCTTCTCTCTCTTTCCCCCTTTATTCTGCATGGGCCGTCCTTTCCTTTTCTTTTTGTTCTGCCAGGGCTATTCTTTCCTTTTCTCTTTCCTCTGCTTTTAATCATAATTCAAACTGTTTCAGTTCCTTTTCATGCAATTGAATTCTAGCTGTTTCCAAAGATTCCAATGGCAAATTTCCAGTAAATATAAATGCAGAGCTACTGCTATAATTACCGCCCCTTTTCTCACAGACAAAGGCAACCCCATCTCTAGCTTGTCTGCCAATTCCAACAGCTTTGCCTTGCTCACTTTCTGCAAAAACCCTCAAAGTCACTTCTTCCACCCCGAGAAAACTCTTAGTGACTGAAAGAGCCATTACAACATAAGGCATGCCCTGTTTAAGCCAACTCAAATTGGAGTTATAGAATTATATCCCAACAAGAACTCCCAATTTGTTATGGACCAGACCAGATCCCTTCAAAATATTTTAAGAAGGTAACCTAGACCCGGACTTTTTCTTATTTTAAAGGTAGATGTGAAATGCGTGTTTCAGATGTGATACAACCGGTCAAGCCACTCGACATTAAGCAAAACACAATTTATTTAAACACTATAGTTAAAATACAAATAAAAGAAAGAGAAAGTTAGAATAACTTAACTATTGGAAAACTTAACTGAATAATAGATACAGATCCGATTACTAATTAACTGAATCCAATAAATACATTCCGTGGCAAAAAGGTAAATTCAGACGCAGATTCTTACAGGCAATTCTCCAATCCAGGAGGAAACAATGTCAAGAGAGATTTCAGAGAATGTAGCAGCTAGAAATCATTTTACTGAAGCTCCAACTCTTCTGGGACTGAAACAGCTTCTGATTGCTACAGCTAAAAAAACTAGAAAGCCTGCTCTATGAGAACTGGCAACTCCCCTTCCATTGTTACAACAGTTCAAAATAAAACCTAAAGGCCTCCTCTGATTGTTGACTTAGGTCGTCTCCCGTAGCCACTTTGGCATCTCTGCCTTTAAACCTTTCTTCAAAAAAATCCAGGACTAAATAACCCTTTTAAAGTGACAGCATCGTCACACCTGCCAAATTGAGACACAGTTATACTGCTGTAAGGGATAATCAGCAGCAAGTTACCGCAGCCAAGAACACTTGGGAAGGGAGAGATCAGGTTTCAAGAATCTGGTGTAGCTGTCAAATACTGTTGGAAGTTATAGAGGGCAAAGGAAACACACCCGTACCTTCTGACCCACAAAGATTGCCTTGCCTTTCTGTGTTGGTAGCTCCATTTCTCTTTTGGATTTCCCAAGTCTTGGAAGCCAGGCCAATAGGGTTGAATTTAAATCACGCTCCTGACTGCCCTGTGAGATCCTGATATGAATGTGTTAATGAGGCACCTCCTCACCTCAAGATGGGGCTCTTTCACAACAAAATGGTGACAGATGCATATGCTGCGGGTTGAAGATTTGTTCCAAGTGTTTAGACTTTCAATTCTTACCCATGCCCCACCCCACTGCTGCCTGTTATGGAGGGGATAATATCAAGGCCACCTTTTCAAGTAGATGACCTTTCATTGTGAAGTGAAAGAATTTCAAGATTAACAAACTTTTTAAAACAAAAAGCAGAGTCAGGGAAGAAACAAATGCAGGAGCAATGAAAAGGAAGAACAGTGGGAAAGGCCTGCAATAGGGTGGCCAGTTGGAATGATTAAATAACAAAGGGGAATGATACTACAAAGCAAGAAGGATGAAAATGAGACAAGTAGAGAAATAATGATGGGTCCAAAGGGGTTGTATTTAAACATTTAGACCAGAACAATTCCTAATATCTCCAACTTGAATAATACGGGAGCAGATATTGTGACCTGAAATCATTGAACTTGATTTTGAGACTAGAAGACTGTGAGACACTTGATCAAGAGCTGAGGACAAGCTCCTGAAACTTCTAAGTACAAACCGAAAGAACTACAGATGCTGTAAAACAGGAACAAAAACAAAGTTGCTGAAAAAGCTCAGCAGGCCTGGCAGCATCTGTGATGGAAAAAACAGAGTTAACATTTCGGGCCCGGTGACCCTTCCTGAGAACACCAGGTCACCAGACCTGAAACGTGGCTTTTTCCAGAAACTTTGTTTTTGCTCCTGGAGCTTCTGTTTGGTTTCACTGGAACAATATAGGAAGCTGAGGACATAAGAGTGAGTGTGGAGCAGAGAATTAAAGCAGCATTTGACTGGAAGCTTGGGGTCGAGCATGCAGAGCGTACAGAGATACTCAACTTCTGTACTAGCTGAGGTCATTATGAAAGCTCAGTATTCTTACCCTTGCCTCTTACCTGAGGCATGGTGACACTCAGGTTGAACTCATCATCTCTCTCTAATGAGAGAACAGCCTGTGATCCTCCAAGTCTATGATAACTTTCAATTTCACTACAATGAAGTAATCCCCCAATCTGTGGTTAGTCTCCCTGATATAGAGAACACTGTATTGAAAACAGAAATAAAGTATGCTAAATTGAAAGCAGTAGAAGTTGCTATTTCATCTGGAAGAAGTATTTGCCATCCATGATAGAGGGAAGAGGCAAAGTGAAAATGTAAAATCAATGTATATGCGGTTATGGTCCTGTTCTTTGGTGCTTGAGATAAGATGTTAATCTGGTAGAGATCAATTACTTGAATATGAATAGAAAAGCCATTCCTTAATGTGCATTTGGTCTTGGACCTCAACCAAATGGATGCCTGGTATCTTGAGTGTAGCCATAGTGGTTTTATTTATTTAATGGTAGTCTATTCCGCCAACATGATTTGAAGATGGAGGGACATTGGACAGGTGCTGCTGAATGACGTTAGGAATACAGCATTTGTCAAAGGCATAAGATGGCTGTGCAGAATTAGAAAAATTACAGTGAAGGTCCTGCTGAGGCTCAAACGCATCCTTCTAGTCTTCTCCCAAAATGTCTGATTACAGGAGAAAATTCTAACTGAGTGCACCTCCTTCTGCCATGTCCACTGCACAGAGAAGATTCTCTCATCTCTAGTATGACCACCTTCCTCTGCCATATCTCTTCTAAAAGAAGATCTCAGAGGTCTTCATTGAAGATGGATTTTTCCTTATCCATTTTCCATTCTTGTCATGGGACAACAAAACAAAAATGAACCAGCTTTCGGTGAAAATTGTTCTTCAGACCTTATGTTTTTGGAAAGTCCATGGGGACCCTAGTCCAATTAACCATCCTTGAGGTCAACTGTGACTGTTGCAATGTGTAATTCTGCAGGAATGCATTTGGTAAATTAGTTTTCCAGCAGTAGATGCTGCAGTCAACTTTAAATCTATTACCCTGTTCTGAAGCATGGTTTCAGAGTGTTGTTATGGTTGAGAAATGAATGACGTACAGTTTTAACTGTGGGGCAAGTTTGATTCAGGTTCCTCACCTGACGACCACCTTGACTGAGAGGCTTGGCAGCCTGTCGGTCAGGTATAACTGGAGTATGGGTGCTTTAGTTATAGTGTGGTGGAGAGATTGTGGATGGGGATAGAGGATGCGGATGCAGTTTGTTTTGGGGGTGTTGATGATTGTAGGGTGCAATAGAATGACATTTTGTAAGGTGTAAACTGATGCTTGGGGCAGAGGGAGGAGACAAAAATTGTCAGAGGATGATAGTGGAGATGAGGGTCCACAGTGTTAATTTGTTGCATCCAGTCGTGTGTCTCTGCTTCTGTGTATTGTTTGATCTCTAAGTAATTCTGTTGGTTTATTTTGTGCCCATTGATATTGTGACCTTTTTTTTTCAAAGAAGGTCTGAGATTGTGGTGTCATGCTGTGCAATGTATGGTGCACTGAATACCTTAACAAAGGCACTTATTAGACCTATGTAAGGCATTCATAGAAGGTGGAAAGGCAAAGATTTCAGTTTGTAACAGCTTTGGTCTGCCATAGAAATTGGCTTTAAAAAAACACAAAATACGCTCTTTGAAATTGCCTGGAACGTAACACAAACTTTTATTAAATTTTGTTACTGAATTATATAACTTCGTTTTTCTCTAAATTTTCTTGGCAGGGTTCAAGGCACAGCCAGAAGGTAAAAAGAAGTAAAAAAAAATCTTCTCATTGCCAAGAGAATTTTCTGTTATTTTGATCTTTTTATTAGCCTTATTTTTTTATTATGGTGACCTACATATTGTTATGGCACAAAATATGGATTCTTAGCAGTTGTACTTTTATTGCAACAAGAGTGGTTTCAGGTCCAAAACAGCATCAGGTATGCATATTTCTGGTGGGGGCCAATTGTTATTTTGGGTGCATTGTTAGTGCTGAAAGTATATAACAGAACCATGCAGCATGGTTAGTGTAAGTGTTTTTTCTGCTGTAATCATAAACTTAGTATGCTTCTAAATAACTCGATTAATAGATCATTAACCAGTGTTACTTTTTTGAGGGTGTTTACATAACAGTGCTAAAGAGGCAGTTCTCATCAGTTCAGATACTTCAACTTAGATTGTAGTCTGCAGGATTTTAACAGCGTGCCTTATGGAGAAGCATAGAATCACTGATAGCAACACTTGGATTTTAATGTTTAACTGCACGTGTACGAACTCCAGAATTAGCTGTCAGTTTCAAAGAAATGATGACAATGAACACTATCAGTATGACCTCAAATTCTAAGTCATCTGTTTCAGCTTCTCCTTAATTCCTGTTATCAGCATAACACTCCATTCCCCTCACCCTCATGTTTATTTGATGTTGCCTTAAATGCATCTACACAGTTTTCCATATTTTTATTTTCCTATTCCCAATTTGATTTTTTAGTAATTAAGTATATTAATAGTCTCTAGTTTTATTCTTCCCACAACTGGAACTATTCTCTTTATTTTTTCTAACAAATCTATTCCTGATTGGAAAGACTTCTATTAAGTTGCCCCCTCAGCCTGTTCTCTTCAAGAGAAAATCCCGTTCTCTTTATGGCCAACAGTCCATTGTCTTCCTTAATGTGATCTATTTAGGGAACCATCAGCTTGTTAACTATCTTCTGCATAGCCCATTTTTAAAAATATCAGTTGCTGTATTATAAGTGTGTTTGAAGAGCATGTGTGTTTATTTACTATTTAATCAAAATTGATAGATTTTGTGCCCTGGGAAATGAAAATGCTGCTTTTAATTGTAGTCAATCAGATCCCTTATTTCATGTTTTCTTTTCCATCAACAGCTTTCCTGGTCTTTTTCCAAATACCTAGAAGCACTGAATAGAGAGGAATCGCTGATTTTGAAAGCACGTGAGGCTGACGGCATGGAGTCGAGCAGAGCAGAAGCTAGTAGAATTGAGGCTGATGGAGTGGATAGTAGCAGAGCGCAATCTGCAGCAATAAATATTCTACCTTCAGGTAATTGGTTGGCAGACAGGAAACAAAAGAGTCAAGTCCTTTTCTGAAATGGCAGCCATTGTCTAGGGGCTACCACAGGTATCAGTGCTTGGACCCCAGCTATTCACAACATATATTAACGTTTTAGATGAGTGAACTAAATGTGATATTTCCAAGCTTGCAGCGGACACAAAGCTAGTTGGGAAGGTGAACTGTGAGGAGGATACCGAGATGCCTCAATGTGATTTGGACAAGTTGAATGTGTGGGTAAATGCAACACAGATGAATATACTGTGGATAAATGTGAGGTTATCCATTTTGGTAGCAAAAATGGAAAAGGCAGATTATTATTTATACTTGCTAGATTGGGATAGATTGGGAAAGGATGAAATGTAACAACACATGGATTTTCTTATACATTGGTTGCTGAAAGTATGCTTAAGGGTGCAGCAGAAGGTGAAGAAGGCAAATGCTATGTTGGACTTCATAGTGAGAGATTTAAGTACAGGAGCAGAGATATCTCGGTGCAATGGTACAGGACCCTGTTGAGCCCACACTTGGAGTATTGTGTGCAGTTTTGGTCTTCTTATCTGAGGAGGGATGTTCTGGCTCTGGAGGAAGTGCAGCGAAGGTTTGCCAGACTGATTCCTCGGATCACAGTACTGACATATGAAGAAAGACTGGATTGGTTAGGGCTATATTCACTGGAGTTCAGAAGAATGAGGAGACATTTCATAGAAACCTATACAATTTTAACAGGACTAGGTAAGCACAGGAAGGATGTTCCCAATGATCGGGGAGTCCAGAACCAGGGGTCACAGTCTAAGGATAAGGAATAGGCCATTTAGGACAGAGATGAGGAGAAATTTCTTCACCCAGACAGTGGTGAGCCTGTAAAAGGGGTAGTTAGAAATTCATTACAGGCGGTGGCATAAACCGTGTAAAATTGGATTGGACACCCATTATACACAGCAGCTGATATTCATTTCCATTATGAAATATTCATACTGCTACCTTTATTTATACTTGCTGACACTATTAGATTTAATTACCAAATGAAGTGATTTGAGAAGTAAATATATAGGCAAAGCAGCAGGAAGCAAATTGGCAATCTACACCACATAAGCTGTTTCAACCAATTGCCAGGAATATCCAGCATCTTTCCACCTACCTATGACTAACAAGATCCCTGCCTACTTTGTATTGTGTAGACAAACACTCAGCGAGGGTAGGATTTGTTATATGCAGTAAGTCTTTAAAAGATTGTTGCAAGAAAGATTGGCAGGATGTAACCACTGAAATACGCACATGAGGAAGCAAAAACATCATGGCCATTCTAGTGAGCACAAGTAGTTAAAATACTTGATAACCCGTGCAAAGGCTGAATGGACAGAATGACACAGCTGCCAAAATTCAAGGGAAAGCAAATCTGAAGGTAAGAAATTATGCCTGTGAACAAGGGAAATTAAACAGCATTGCAAACAAGCCTTGCTAGATGACTGACAGAGTGAGATTCTGCTTTGTAAGGTGGTTGTCAACTTTGCCATCTGTTAGGATATCTTCCCAGGAAACAGAGCAGCTACACTCCTGGCAGAGGATGGTGGCCAGTCGCATTTAAACTGCTTCCATTACATGGGAGCAGATACAGAAAAGAATAGCACATCTTAAAGGGATTATCAAGACAACACAGGTCACTAGGACCATTAATGAATAGATCTGTATTCTATGTCATCTACTTCTAAATCACTATTGGTCCATACCAAACCCTCACATAACTATATAACATTATTGCTCACTATGTTAAATCATACTTCAGTACCTGTCATTTATTCAACATAAGTTGAAAGCTTTGCCACATATCTTCAAATTCTATACAAAATGTTTTAAAAATCTCAATGATTGATGGTACTGCTTGAGGTATGAATCTTCAAAATGTGTAAATATTTCAGAAAGTACTGGTGCTCTTTATGACAGGTTATTTTCTAGCCTTGGGAATTTAACATTAACATTAGCAATAATGTTTCTTTTCACAGAATCTTCAACCAGTCAAAACATGACATCAAGCAACTTGAAAATGAATTAATTAATCGTAATTTATCACAACTTATTGAAGCCTAAAGTGAACTTATCCTACAGTGGGTATCGCAAACTCAATTTTGAAAAATGTATTTATAACCATTTGCTGAGATGAAATAAAAGCTATGACTATTTGTCTTAAATTTTAGTAAGGAAATTAGGAATCTATACAGTTAATGTAAAGGTAACATGTCAAAGTTATATCCTTGAAGAAAACTGAATAGATGATAACTTCGTAATACAATGGAAGAATTTGTCCCAAAGTCATTGGAGATATACATTGAACCACAATGTATAAAAGGATTTCAGGGTACATTGTCGAGTAGTTAACAGACAGATACTGAAATATCTTCCCTGTCAATTATGTATATGAAATCAGTGTCACCTTGGCAGCAGAAAAATTCAAACTGGGCTACATGGTGCTGTTTTATTTATAAAATCATGGAGGTATCTTTCCACTTGTCCACCTGTGCAGTAATGATGTGGAGTGGATAGCCTGCCAGTTATGGGCCTTTTCTGTTTCAAACAATTGATTTAAGGCAAATTATAGGATAGGCAGCCAATTTACTCGACATCAATACTGCCTACAGATCAAATAGAAAATTACCACCAGTATATACTTAAGTTCATCAGGATCCATTCTTAAGACAGTCATAAAAGTCAAAACTATAAAAGTTTGGAGTTGCAGCAATCAGATCGTAGGTGTTATTTGTAAGCTTTTAGATCACAATACTCAGAAGTGTTATCAAACAGACAGAAAATCAGATGCAATTTCCTGGTATATGCTCTTTGCAAACAAAGCAGTCTCCTCACAGGACAGTAGGAATCTCTGAGGAACAGAGGGATAATGGATGCATCTCCTCAGAGGCAGGATAGTTTAATAGAGTAGTTACGAAAGCGTATGGCACACTTGCCGTTTCACTCAAGGCATAGATTATAAGAGCAGGGAGGTTATATTGGAGCTGAACCAGACTTTGGTTAGACCACAGCTAGGGTGTTGTGAGAGTTCTCGTCACCCCACTATAGGAAGGATGTGATAGCACTGGAAGGATTGCAAAGGAGATTCACCAGGATGCTGCCTGGGATGAAACAGTTTAGCTATGAAGAGAGGCTAGACAAGCTCAGGTTGTTTTCTTTGGAACAGAGAAGGCTAATAGAGCACCTGATTGAGATGTGTAAGATTATGAGGGGTAAGGCCGGATGGATAGAAAGGAGCTGTTCCCCTTAGTTGAAAGGCCAACAACAGAGGGCACACTTTTAAGGTGAAAGGCAGAAGGGTATTTAAGGAATCGTTTTTCACCCAGAGGGTGGTGGGAATCTGAAATGCGCTGCGTGGGAGCATAGTTAGGGCAGGAAACCTTACAATCTTTAAAAAGTGCTTGGATTACTGCTTGAAATGTAATTACATTCTAGGCTATGGGCCAAGTGCTGGAAAATGGTACTCGGGTAGAATTTTGGTGTAGTTTTTTATTGGTGCAGACTTAATGGGCCAAACAGCCTCTTCTGTAATGTTTGATTCTATAAAAACTCCAAGCTGGAAGTGCAAATTTGTAACATAAGCCCACAGAACTATTCACTTCCTATTAATTTATTCAGACTTTGCAGAGGAATTAGTTGCCAGTCAGCAGGGAAATGTATTCATTTGTTTAATCTTTACCTCACCTCCAGATGTGCATATTCACAGCAATTAACACTTAGAGACAGGTCAGGGTGTATGAAGTTGCAGTGTAGCCAATGAGTGACACTTACTTTATAAGTTATTAACAGATACACAGTGACCACACTAAATAGAATTAAAACCCTCGAGTGAGCTTTAAGGGTCTCCAGTCTGGCATATGTTAGTAGATGTTTGACAATGATTTAGTGTCACTTACATCCTCAGTTACACTGTCAGCTCAACTGCCATCTATGCTGGGCCCAGAAAAGAGCACCCACCTGTTTCAGGAAGGAGCCCTCATGGAATATGGAGATCCAGATCTTGACAAGTATGATTTTGAGGTGTAAGTGAGTTGCCCATTTCTCTCCATGTTGTAAAAACCAAAAGACATATAAACCAACACTCTCCTGGCTATCATCAGTTCTAAGGGACACTGGACCTGAAACGTTAACTCTGATTTCTCGTCACTGATGATGCCAGACCTGCTGAGCTTTTCCAGCAAATTCTGTTTTTTTTCTCTCCATGTTGTGTCTGACATTGGGACCTGTATTATGCCTCTCCTGTCCTGATATAACAGCAGAGATTTTATTTAAGTTGGCAGGCAGGCAGTTGGCAGAGCACCAATTCCTGCTGAGTGACCTGAACTGATTTAAATTGCATTCATGGTATAATGAGAGATTACTGGCTTCCAGTTTGGAGATAATGGTGAGGCTCACACAGGCTAGTAGCAGCCCCATTTTCCTGTGGACTTGAAAGGAGTCCAGTTTGCTGGCCCCATGAGAATTCAAGCTTAAAAATAAATGACTCTTCAAGGGCTGCTGGTTATGCTCTTCAGTGCATGGTGAGAATGGGCTTAGCTGGCAAGACATTGAGCATCAGATGAAGGGTCATCAACCTGAAATACTGGGTAGAAACATGCAGTCCAAGAGAAGGTGGAAAGGTTGCCAGGGAATTTAACTGGGCAGGAGGCCAATTTCAGAATCCTGACCATGGGATAAACCATGCAAGTGAATCCTATGACCTTAAAAGGTGGGTTGACTGTCGGTCTTGTGAAATGTATCTGTGTGTATTTGCATCTCACTGAAAGACCAGCTTGTTAGAATTAAGAGTTCCTTCCTAATTTAGTTCTCCCATATTGATAAATACATGTATTCTGTTTTCTGACTGCGTATAAGTAGCATGTGCCTGGATGAATAAATAAAAACACTCTGATAAATCAGCATCTCTCCGGGCCTCTTGGAATCACATTCCATGTGGAGTCTGGAGACACACAATGTTTTGGATTGACTGCCATTTCTTGGTGGAATGGATGAGGACATGGAGGAAGGGGTGAGTTGCAAGCCTTGAGGGGCTCAGGTGGTGAAGGCAATCACCAGTTTCGTGATATCTCCTCAATGCAGAGTTTGACTGGTAGGTCTATGATGGCAAGGCAAGAGGAGGACAGATGCTACGTCCAGGGATGAGCAGAGGTTTAACAAGAGATTTAGAGGGAAACTGTCAAAAAAAAATGCTGACTAGACAGATCAATGCCCTGTATTTGCAGATCACCTGATTCTGATCACACAGAAAAACCTGTTCTTCTCCCAGCCATGGTGGAGACAAGGAAGATCTAGAACAGAAGGATACAGGAGCAGTTACAGCAGATATGGGCAGTATACTAACTTGCAGATGGGAAAGATCCAGGAAACTAGGCACCACAGCAATGATGAGCATTGGTTTGAGACAGAATATAGAGAAGGCACTTCCCCTGACCAGGAGGGAATTCAGGAGGGCCCTGTGGATGTCCCATGAGGTGGCATCCTCTATATACCAGCTGTTGAATGAGAATTGGCACTGCAAAGACTAGGGGACAATCCATGTCTTGAAGATCACTATGGCCTTGAATTACTTTACCTGTGGCTCATTTCAGAGTTTGGCTGAGACACTCTGAGGTATCTTCCAGTCAGCGACTCACAAGTGTATATGAGATGTCACAGATGCCTTATTCTGAATTTTCCAATAATTTGTCATAATCCCCTTGGATGTAGAGAGCCAGGCAGTGAGATTTGCTGGTATATCTGGATTCCCTTAGGGACAAGGGCTATAGATCGCGCACAACATCAATTAGGGACCTTGACACCATCCTGGACGATGCAGTCGACTTGACTGACATCCCATCCACCAGTTTCAACATTCATTCCTTACACCACTGATGCACATTGGCAGCAGTATTATCTCACCAAGTCTTCTTCAACAACCTGCAACCCTTACCACCTAGAGGCACAAGGTGACTGCAACCATAGGAACACAACCACTTGCAAGTTCCTTTCCAAACCAGATATCATCCTGACTTGGAACAATATTGTCATTCCTTCACTGTCACTGGGTCAAAGTCCTGGAACTCCATCCCTACACACATGGCCTGCAGAACTCCAAGAAGGGCAGCTCACTACCACCTTCTCAAGGGCAATTAGGAGTGGGTAATAAATGCTGGCCTAGCCAATAACAATCACATTCTGAGAATGACTAATAAAATGTTGCTTTAGAGCACCCGAGTGTCACCCAATTGTCTGCCAACATTAAAGGTTTACATTCCATTAATGTGCAGTTGATAGGTGACCAAAATTAACAAAATCTCTAAGTTAGTGTGTAATACTCAGTTAGCAATCACATGTGGTTTAAGTATTTAATGCCACACATCTCTTACAGGACTGACTGATGGGAGACAAAGGCTATTCCCAGAAGGTTTGAATGGTAATACCAGTCACAAATCTGCAGAGTGCTGCTGAGGTACCTTATGATGTTGCATGTACCTCCGCATGGGTGATCACTGAACAGATAACTGGTCTTCTCAAAATTAGATTTGGATCTTTGGACCATTAAGATGGTGCACTGCAATATATCCAACTGAAGAATGTTCAGCATTCTGTGCCCTTCATGAGGAAGCAGACAGTGCTGGATGTAGACCAGGAAGTTGCAGATGAATAGGAAGTGTCCAGGCCAATGGTGAGAAAAGGCAGACATGCTCCCGAAAGACTCATTGATAACAGATTCCAGGCTGAGTAAATAATTCATGTACCCATCCGGGTGCCTTTTAAATGTTGTAATTGTATCAGCCTCCACCACCTCCTCTGGTAGCTGATTCCATACATGCCCCAGCCTCCATGTGGAAAAGTTGTTCTTTAGATCAGGGGCGGCACAATGGTTAGCACTGCTGCCTCAAAGTGCCAGGGACCTGGGCTCGATTCCAGCCTCAGGTGACTGTCTGTGCCTGTGTGGGTTTCCTCTGGGTGCTCCAGTTTCCTTCTACCATACAAAGGCGGGCAGGTTAGGGTGGATTGGCCATGAAAAATTGCCCATAGCGTCAAGGGATGTGCAGACTAGATGGATTAGCCATGCGGATTGTGGGATTATAGGGTGGGTCTGAGTGGGATGCTCTTCAGAGGGTTGGTGTGGAGCTGATGGGCCAAATGGCCTGCTTCCACACTGCAAGGATTTCATGATTCTCTTTTATATCTTTCCCCTCTCACCTTAAACCTATGGCCTCTAGTTTTGGACTCCCCTACCCTGTTAAAAAAGACCTTGGCTATTCACCCTATCAATACCCCTCATGATTTTATAAACCTCTATAAAGTCACCCCTCAGCTTCTAATGGAACTCCATGGGAAATAGTCCCAGTCTATTCAGCCTCTCCCTATAGCTCAAACCCTCTAACTCTGGCAACATCCGTTCAAATCTTTTCTGCACCCTGTCATGTTTTGCTAACATTTTATTCTTGAATATTTCCCCTGGCTCACGAGACTCCAGCTGGGGGAAAGCTCATTCCT